CCCCAGCAGGACCGGCAGCTCCAGTACCGCCACTACGAGTACCTCCGGGACCAGCAGCAACAGTAGTACCTCCAGCTCCAGCAGCACGGCTCCAGCGCCGGGCAAACCACTCGCGTAGCTCCTGCGGAGAGAGTAACTCCCGCCTCGACGAAGTACCGCGAGAGGCCACACGAGCAGACCCAGCACCCCCAGGCTCCGCACCCCCAGGCTCAGCACCCTCAGGCTCAGCACCCCCAGACTCAGCACCCCCAGACTCAGCACCCCCAGACTCAGCACCCCCAGGCTCAGCACCCCCAGGCTCCGCACCCCTGGACTCAGCACCCCCAGGCTCCGCACCCTCAGGCTCAGCACCTCCAGACCCGGCACCCGCAGGCTCAGCACCTCTAGCAGCACCAGAGTCAACAGCTACCTCGACAGGCTCGACGGCATCTACCTGAGACACACCGGACGGAGCAGGACCCTGAGGGGGGAGGGGGTCTACCGGGGGAGGACCTGGCGCAAGGAAGAGCGGCGGGGGGGGGGAGAGGCGCAGTTCGGTAGGGGAAGAGACGGTAGTAAGGTACCGACTCGTCGAAGGTGACGTCCTGGGAGGACAGAACACGGCGCGAGGTGGGGTGGTAAAACTACCAACCAGGCGCGTCAGGGGGGAAGCCAAGGAAGACGCAGGGAACAGCACGGGGGGACAGCTTGTCCGCAGACAAGTCGCGGACAAACGCCCGAGATCCCCAGACCCGAAATGCAGACGCATCGCCAACCTTCCCTGTCCACCGCAAGGTGGGGGAGGTCTCTGGCAAGGAGACCCGGGGCTGAAGGTTGAGCTGATGCGCTGCATACTGAACCGCAAACGGCCACAGAAAATGGGGGGCAGCCGCATGGATCATGGACGTGCGAGCGACGTCCATGACCATGCCAATGCGGCGCTCAGCAATCCCATTTTGCTGTGGAGAGGCCGGAAGCGTGAAGGTCTGGCGGATGCCCTGTGCACGACAGAAGGCTCCCAGACGGGCAGAGGAAAACTCCCCGCCTCTGTCAGAGTGCAGACGCAGAACAGGAAAGTCCGAGCCGAAACTCTCTCTGAGGTGGAGACGAGCTGCGCGGATCCAGTCGATCAACACCTCAGTGACGTCACCCTTGCTGCGCAAGGGGAAGACTGTGGTGTAACGCGAGTAGTCGTCAACCACCAACAGGAAGTAACGCTCGTGACCCTGGCCACGGACGCGGGCGGGGCCCCACACGTCCATGTGAAGAGTCTGCAGTGGAGCCTCTGTCGGAGGAAACTCGGAGGAGTGAGGGGCGGCGCGCTGTCGCCCCTCGACGCAGGGGACGCAGGTAGGGGCAGGCCCCGGAGGTAGGGGAGGGAGAGACCGGGGGAGACCAGAGACAAGGACACGGGAGGCCATGCCTCGGAGACGAGGCAGGGAGGGGTGACCAAGGCGGTGGTGCCAGAGGAGAGTCTGGTGGGACAGGAGACGACACGAGCAGGGAGCAGACTCAGGACCAGACCTGGACGCTGCAGCAACCACCTGACTCGACGCAGCTACCTGACCAGACTCAGCAACTGGAGGAGACGCAGTAGTAAGGGTGTACAGGCTCGACCCCGGCCGACGGGTGAACGTGGCCAAGTGTCGGCCCATCCGAGCACACGTGCAGTGGGTCACCCGCTGACTCGCAGGAGTGAACTGGTCAACCCCCCTATCCTGCAGATCAGCTCCACTCACCAAGTTCGTAGAGAACGAGGGGAGGTAGAGACCTGACAGGGTGCCAGAGGGGGCTGCCGGGCACGGTAAGACAGTGGAGAAGCTAGCAAGGACAGGACCCCCAGAGGGGTCCGCCAGGGAGACCGCAACCGGCCGACTAAGCGGCGTAAGTGTGGTGCGGTCTCGAAAGAAGGAGCGGGAAGCACCCGAGTCAAGGGTGAAGGTGTGGAAGGCCTGAGCCGACGTGGTACCTGAGAGAGCAGACTCACTAGCACCTGGGGCAGCAGACGCACTAGCACCTAGAGCAGCAGCCTCACCAGTACCTAGAGCAGCAGCCTCACCAGTACCTAGAGCAGCAGCCTCAATGCCCGGGTCAGGCGGAACACACAGGTAACAGTCACCCTCAACACTATCACATACAGCATACATGGCAGCAAGAATAGCATCATAATCAAGATCAAAGATAGCAACCCCCGCCCTAGACAGCTCTCCCCAGCGAGGGATCTCAGTGGCGTCAGGGAACTGGTGACGCCACGCGTCCGTCAGGCGGCCGAAGCAGCGCTGGGTGGAGTGCGGGCCCCCGCACTGCTCACCAGCGCGGTCGCCGGTACGGAGGACGTAGGTGCAGGGACCAGTACCCCCACCTCGCTGACGCGCAGCGTACCACTCATGAAGCTGCTGAGGGGACAGGGTCGCACGACTGCGCTGCTGCTGCTGGCGCGGACCACCTCCGGACCCACTCCTCTGCGCAGAGCCGCGACCAGCTCCACCGCTGCCGCCGCCACCTCCGCCACCTCCGCCGCCTCCGCCACCTCCGCTCCCTCCGCCACCGCCGCCGCCTCCTCCGCCTCCACTGCTGCCACCTACACCTCCACCCCTGCCACCACTCCCACCACCACCCCAACCCCCTCCACTACCTCCACCACCACCTCCACCGCCCCCGCCAGCCCCTCCAGTGCCCTTGCCCCCCTTGCCCTTGCCGGTGCGGCGTCTCCCGCTAGGGGTAGACGCAGCGCCGACCGACTCGAAACCACCGAGGTCGGCCGCAGCAGCAGAAGCAACAGAGGGCAAGAGGGGGGAAGGGGAACACCCCTCAAAAACGGGGGTGCGAGGGTCACCACGAGAGGCTCCTACAGCGACTATGCTCGTCTCTGCTGCTAGGAGGCGCTCCTCGAGGAGGTCAACGGTGAGTGTGGTGGGGCAAACTGAGAGGAAGTGGTCCCTGACTAAGCGAAGGGAGTCAGGGAGCCGGGTGACTATGTAGTAGAGGGTGATGTACATGGGGGGGGGGTTCTTGGCACAGAACTCAGCAGGAAGCGCAGCGCGGTAGCGAGTGTTACTAGTGCGAAGGTGCGTAATGAGGTCAGCGACTGTGGGAAAGGCAGCAAGGTCAGGGAACAGGTACGGTAGCATGAGGCGGCTAAGCGCAGCAGTGGCAGGGGAAGAGTAGCGCGCAACTACAGTGTCGTACAAGGTCTGAGCACTCTTGTACTGGCTAAAGTGCGCACGCTCAGTGGTCGCTAAGTGGCGACGCACAGCAAGACGGGCAGCAGCATCGCGTGTGGCCCACTGTGAGCGAACCGTGCTGTCAGCAGTAGCAGGCGGGGCAGGAGAGGCACCAGAGGTGAGATCGAACAGGGAGAGTCCGTGTGCCCTATCGCACTGTAGGAACAGCTGAAGGTCATCGACCCAGACCTCAAAGTCAACAGCACGACCCTCAGCATCAAAGGTAAGGACACTGGGGGTAGCCATGACTGCAGTGGCCTAACAGAGAGTGATCTCACCAGTCCGAGGAAGTAGGGCCGGGGCGCGCCGGTAGGAACAGTAGCGGCTCGACAGCAGGGCGGCTCGGCGGCTCAGCTGCTGGGCGGCTCGGCTGGCGGGCGGCTCGGCGGCTCGGCTGCTGGGCGGCTCGGCTGTCAGGCGGCTCGGCGGCTTGGCTGCTGGGCGGCTCGGCGGCTCGGCTGCTGGGCGGCTCGGCGGCTCGGCTGTTGGGCGGCTCGGCGGCTCGGTTGCTGGGCGGCTCGGCGGCTCGGCGGCTCGGCGGCTCGGCTGCTGGGCGGTTGGGCGGCTCAGCTGCTGGGCAGCTTGGCGTTGAAGGGGCCGGGAGAGGCGGCGTCGGGGCCGCGTAGGGAGGGGAGCAGCGACGGGGCCGCTAGGGGCGGCTACTGGGCCGCGTAGGGAGGGAGGCGGCGACGGGGCCGCTAGGGGCAGCGACGAGGCCGCGTAGGGGCGGCTACGGGGCCGCTAGGGGCGGCGACGGGGCCGCGTAGGGGCGGCGACGGGGCCGCTAGGGGCGGCGACGGGGCCGCGTAGGGAGGGAGGCGGCGACGGGGCCGCTAGGGGCGGCGACGAGGCCGCGCAGGGGCGGCGACGGGGCCGCTAGGGGCGGCGACGGGGCCGCGTAGGGAGGGAGGCGGCGACGAGGCCGCTAGGGGCGGCGACGAGGCCGCGTAGGGGCGGCGACGGGGCCGCTAGGGGCGGCGACGAGGCCGCGTAGGGGCGGCGACGGGGCCGCTAGGGGCGGCGACGGGGCCGCGTAGGGGCGGCGACGGGGCCGCGTAGGGGCGGCGACGGGGCCGCGTAGGGGCGGCGACGGGGCCGCTAGGGGCCGCGAGGGGCCTGGAAGGGCGGCGACGGGGCCGCGAGGGGCGGCACGAGGGGCCGTGAGGGGAGCCTCTAAGAGAGCTCAACAGAAGGGCGGCCCACAAGGCGCGCCTCGGGCAGGAGCGACTGGCGCTCCGGTCAGAAAAAAAAAATTTCAGTGGTGGTGGGCCCAAGGAAGCGTTCCCACTAGGGAACCTGCTCTATACCATGTTAAGAAATGAGGAATGATTGAACTAGGAAAGTGTGAGATACAAATATGAAAGCTGTACCCCTTAGTGTCTACCCCACTACAGCCTACATAGGCTAAGGCATATAAGTCTGACAGAAACAAGTGAAGTTACGAATCGCATTTTTGTGTCTTGCCTGACTAGAAACCTGTTTGTACTCATTCTGGAAATACAACATGACAACATTGAGATTCTGAAAATTGCTGGTGTGTATTGACAACTTCAAGCAGAGCTGCGCATATCGTTGGATTCGGGAGATCGTGGAGAACACGATAGGCGATAGCAAGTAGACTATTGCCGACTAAGGTGTTTACGATCCTAAGAGTTACAAGCAGCCTCGATAGAATCTTCGCGACGGTTTCAATACAGCGGAGGGCGGTGAGAGGAGAATGGTGGCGCGCGGAGCGGAATGATGCCTATCAGACGAGGGGAAGTGGGGTTGGGGCGGAGGCGCGTGGCTTTGGGGGGAATGCCGCGGGGACCCGCAGTGAGTCGGGGCGGGGCGCAATTGTGAGCGCGCGGGGGTGGTGGGGCGACGGGGCGAAGGGGGCGGCGGAAGATGCTCTCTTGTGGGGGGCAGGCGGAGAGGAACAGGGGGACGAGGGGGCAGAGGATGCGCGGAGAGTGGATGGCGGGGGGGGGGAAGGAAGCAGGCGAGGGCGGGAGAGATGCTTGCGTGGGAGGGGCAGGGGAAGGCAGGTGGGGTTAGCGGCAGCGGTGTGATGGGGTTGGCAGCCCGGAGGGGAGAAGACGGCAGCAGAGCAGAGAATGGCGCCACAGGAGGAAGAGCAGCGGGGCAGGCACCAGCGGGCGGGGCAGCAAGGGAGGAGGCTCTGGGGGAGGCAGGGGGGGCGCATAGGGGCAGGTACGAGGGGAGGCGGCAGCGAGGAGATGCTGGTGGCGTCGGCGGCGGTGCTGCTGTTGCAGGGGTGCAGGAGGCGAGACGGCGGCTGCTGGATGCATGCACTCACGCCCTTGTTGCTGAGGTGGGTTGATTGAGGTGCTTGAGGATAGAGCTGCTGGAGTAGACGAGCGAGTGGCTTCGATCGGATGGCAGCTGCTGCATGCACACTCACTGTTCACACACATGGCGCCTGTGCACACGCTGTGATGTTATGGGTGGGGCCGTAAGAGTTGTGGGCCCACATAGTGTGTTGGGCCTGAGTTGTGCTCGTTGCGTTCATGGTTAGTAGTAGCTCGGTGGCTCAAAATGGCTCAAGGCGAAGACCACCCAGGTGGCATTTATTGCCACATGTGTGCATGGTATCAGCGCACAGGTATGGCCGTGATTGAGGGCTCTCTTCTCATGGCCCGGCAGTTTTGACACTCAGCCCAGTCACACGCGCTTGCTTGGATGGTACCACATCGCATTGCTTGCTTGGATGGTACCACATCGCATTGGTTGCGCTTCTTGCATTGCTCCCTCCTCATCATCTCTCATTGCCCTTTCTCATCATCTCTCATTGCCCTTTCTCATCATCTCTCATTGCCCTTTCTCATCATCTCTCATTGCCCTTTCTCATCATCTCTCATTGCCCTTTCTCATCATCTCTCATTGCCCTTTCTCATCATCTCTCATTGCCCTTTCTCATCATCTCTCATTGCCCTTTCTCATCATCTCTCATTGCCCTTTCTCATCATCTCTCATTGCCCTTTCTCATCATCTCTCATTGCCCTTTCTCATCATCTCTCATTGCCCTTTCTCATCATCTCTCATTGCCCTTTCTCATCATCTCTCATTGCCCTTTCTCATCATCTTGCATTGCCCTTTCTCATCATCTCTCATTGCCCTTTCTCATCATCTCTCATTGCCCTTTCTCATCATCTCTCATTGCCATTTCTCATCATCTCTCATTGCCCTTTCTCATCATCTCTCATTGCCCTTTCTCATCATCTTTCATTGCCCTTTCTCATCATCTCTCATTGCCCTTTCTCATCATCTCTCATTGCCCTTTCTCATCATCTCTCATTGCCCTTTCTCATCATCTCTCATTGGCCTTTCTCATCATCTCTCATTGCCCTTTCTCATCATCTCTCATTGCCCTTTCTCATCATCTCTCATTGCCCTTTCTCATCATCTCTCATTGCCCTTTCTCATCATCTTTCATTGCCCTTTCTCATCATCTCTCAGTGCCCTTTCTCATCATCTCTCATTGCCCTTTCTCATCATCTCATTGCCCTTTCTCATCATCTCTCATTGCCCTTTCTCATCATCTCTCATTGCCCTTTCTCATCATCTCGCATTGCCCTTTCTCATCATCTCTCATTGCCCTTTCTCATCATCTCGCATTGCCCTTTCTCATCATCTCTCATTGCCCTTTCTCATCATCTCTCATTGCCCTTTCTCATCATCTCTCATTGCCCTTTCTCATCATCTCTCATTGCCCTTTCTCATCATCTCTCATTGCCCTTTCTCATCATCTCTCATTGCCCTTTCTCATCATCTTTCATTGCCCTTTCTCATCATCTCTCATTGCCCTTTCTCATCATCCCTCATTGCCCTTTCTCATCATCTCTCATTGCCCTTTCTCATCATCTCTCATTGCCCTTTCTCATCATCTCTCATTGCCCTTTCTCATCATCTCTCATTGCCCTTTCTCATCATCTCTCATTGCCCTTTCTCATCATCTCTCATTGCCCTTTCTCATCATCTCGCATTGCCCTTTCTCATCATCTCATTGCCCTTTCTCATCATCTCTCGTTGCCCTTTCTCATCATCTCGCATTGCCCTTTCTCATCATCTCTCAGTGCCCTTTCTCATCATCTCTCATTGCCCTTTCTCATCATCTCTCATTGCCCTTTCTCATCATCTCTCATTGCCCTTTCTCATCATCTCTCATTGCCCTTTCTCATCATCTCTCATTGCCCTTTCTCATCAACTCTCATTGCCCTTTCTCATCATCTCACATTGCCCTTTCTCATCATCTCGCATTGCCCTTTCTCATCATCTCTCATTGCCCTTTCTCATCATCTCTCATTGCCCTTTCTCATCATCTCTCGTTGCCCTTTCTCATCATCTCTCATTGCCCTTTCTCATCATCTCTCATTGCCCTTTCTCATCATCTCTCATTGCCCTTTCTCATCATCTCTCATTGCCCTTTCTCATCATCTCTCATTGCCCTTTCTCATCATCTCGCATTGCCCTTTCTCATCATCTCTCAGTGCCCTTTCTCATCATCTCTCATTGCCCTTTCTCATCATCTCTCATTGCCCTTTCTCATCATCTCGCATTGCCCTTTCTCATCATCTCTCAGTGCCCTTTCTCATCATCTCTCATTGCCCTTTCTCATCATCTCTCATTACCCTTTCTCATCATCTCTCATTGCCTTTTCTCATAATCTCTCATTGCCCTTTCTCATCATCTCTCAGTGCCCTTTCTCATCATCTCTCATTGCCCTTTCTCATCATCTCTCATTGCCCTTTCTCATCATCTCTCAGTGCCCTTTCTCATCATCTCTCATTGCCCTTTCTCATCATCTCTCATTGCCCTTTCTCATCATCTCTCATTGCCCTTTCTCATCATCTCTCATTGCCCTTTCTCATCATCTCTCATTGCCCTTTCTCATCATCTCGCATTGCCCTTTCTCATCATCTCGCATTGCCCTTTCTCATCATCTCTCATTGCCCTTTCTCATCATCTCGCATTGCCCTTTCTCATGATCTCGCATTGCCCTTTCTCATCATCTCTCATTGCCCTTTCTCATCATCTCTCATTGCCCTTTCTCATCATCTCTCATTGCCCTTTCTCATCATCTCTCATTGCCCTTTCTCATCATCTCTCATTGCCCTTTCTCATCATCTCTCATTGCCCTTTCTCATCATCTCGCATTGCCCTTTCTCATCATCTCTCATTGCCCTTTCTCATCATCTCTCATTGCCCTTTCTCATCATCTCTCATTGCCCTTTCTCATCATCTCTCAGTGCCCTTTCTCATCATCTCTCGTTGCCCTTTCTCATCATCTCTCATTGCCCTTTCTCATCATCTCTCATTGCCCTTTCTCATCATCTCTCATTGCCCTTTCTCATCATCTCTCATTGCCCTTTCTCATCATCTCTCATTGCCCTTTCTCATCATCTCTCATTGCCCTTTCTCATCATCTCTCATTGCCCTTTCTCATCATCTCTCATTGCCCTTTCTCATCATCTCTCATTGCCCTTTCTCATCATCTCTCATTGCCCTTTCTCATCATCTCTCATTGCCCTTTCTCATCATCTCTCATTGCCCTTTCTCATCATCTCTCATTGCCCTTTCTCATCATCTCTCATTGCCCTTTCTCATCATCTCTCATTGCCCTTTCTCATCATCTCTCATTGCCCTTTCTCATCATCTCTCATTGCCCTTTCTCATCATCTCTCATTGCCCTTTCTCATCATCTCTCATTGCCCTTTCTCATCATCTCTCATTGCCCTTTCTCATCATCTCTCATTGCCCTTTCTCATCATCTCGCATTGCCCTTTCTCATCATCTCCTTGACACAGTCAGCTGCTGGCTGGTCAAGTCCCATATCAACCAGCCCTTATGATCCTTAGCAAGCCCCAAGTGTACTCCCCATCTCCCAGAAGCCTCCAACTTTCCCCTCTTCTCCTTAGGCACATGAAACACCACCATGCAGCCGTAGGCTCTCAGCATGTTGACTGCTGGTGCACTCCCATACCACTTGGTGTAGGGGACCCACTGCTTGTCCCCCACAGTCGCCAACACCCTGTTCTTCACAAGGGCGACCTGCCGCAGTGCAGTCGCCCAAAACGGATCCGGCAGCCCTGCACGCCCAAGGAGAGTGCGAGCACCTTCCTGCAGGGTCCGGTTGAAGCGCTCAGCCACACCGTTCTGCTGAGGGTTGTAGGGAACCGTGAGCTGATGCTGGATCCCCTTCTTCTTCAGCACCGCCTCAAAATCAGCGCCAATGAATTCTCCCCCATTGTCAGTGCGGATCACCTTCACCTTGTGTCCGCTCTCCCTTTGAGCTCTCGGCATCCACTCCTTAAGAACAGCCGCTGCCACTTCCCCCTTAGTCTTGAGAGGGTACACCCACACCGCACGTGTGTGGTCATCCACAATGGTTAAGAAGTAGCGGCTGCCCGAGAGAGAAGGGGCCCTCGTAGGGCCCACCACATCCATGAGCACAAGCGCGAGCGTGGCCTTGGCTGGCCCCGTGCCGCTGCTGAAGGGAAACTTTGTGAACTTGGTCTCAAGGCATGTAGGACAGCTCCCAATCTCCTTCACTGCCCCTTTCACCTCCAACCCCTTCAAGTTCCTATCCTTCACCAACTTCTGCAGCATAGGAAAATTCACATGACACAGCCTCTCGTGCCACGTTTCCCAATCAGCCTCACCACTCCTAGATGAAGCCTTTGCCCATGCAGCTGTCGCATCCACACCAGCAAGCACCTCACCATGTGGCTGCTGTGTCTGCTGAACCTTCTTGACGGCATCCAGGGCCCCATCAGTTGGTGCAGTCTCCTCTCCTCTCGTAGTTGCTTTAGCCGTTGCTGCAGCCGCTGCCGTTGCTGGTGGTTTCCCATTCCAAGGGATGATGGGCAGCTGCCATATGTCCTTGATGCAGCTGCTCTTCTCCTCCAAATCCCACAGCAGAAATTTCCCAAGCTTTGCACGGCAGCTGGTTGGACCGAAGGTAACTTTAGCCTTGCTCTTCTGCAGCCGGCGCACAGAAATAAGGTTAGCGGACAAGCCTTCAACCAACAGCACATTCCCCAGCCCCACAAGCCCCCCATTGGCTCCCATTACCTTGGCATTCCCAACACCAATCACAGGGAGCAAAGCACCTGAAGCGGCAGCCACAAACTTAATCTTTCCGGGGGGCTTTACCTCGTCAAGCAAATCTGCCCGTGGGGTCATGTGACTTGTGCAACCTAAATCTATCACCCAGTGAGTGAGGGGGTGCATCACAACCTTCCCAACTGAGCCCACATCACCCTCACTCCCTTTCACATCCTCAACCATGAGGAACATCCCAGGGTTGGCTTTACCTTGTGCACCATCACCTTGTGCACCTGAACCTTGCACAGCGCCACCTTCTGCACGTTCACCACTTGGTGGCTTCACGCCTGGAGGTGCCCATCCCTCAGGCCGGCTGAAACCCTTGAACCATGGGTGTCCAGCCTTCTTGCAGTACCAGCACGCTCCCTCCATTCGGGTACTCCCCCTGCCACCAGAGCTCCCATGCCCCTCGTTATAGTCACCTCGGCCTCTCCCTCTGCCAAAGCCTCTCCCACGGCCTCGGCCTCTCCCTCCCCCTCTTCCTCTACTGCCTCCTGCAGCTCCATACCCCTCAGCAGTTTTGTTGGCAGCACCACCACCCGTGTGGCGCATGCGGAAGTCCTCCTCCAGAATCTGCTGCCGTAGCCACTCTGGTGTCCATTGGTCCTGCTGAGTGTTGAGGGTGGGGATGAGGTTGTCCCGCGAGTTGTCGAGCACTGAGATGATCTTGGTGCACTGCAGCATCTGCGACACCTTGCTGCCCGCCGCTGCCATCCTCGCATAGGTATCCTTGATCTTGTCAAGGACCAGCTTCACATCATCACCCGGTCGCATGGAGAGGGCAGCCAGCTCCTTCTCCAACACAATCACCATCGGTAGTGTGTTGGGCTGAATCACGTCGCGCAGTAGCTTCCACGCCTTTGGTCTGGAATCATCCAACTCCACCAGATCATTGATGTGTTGGAACATATCTTTGTTGACCGATTGAAGGATTAGGTCGTACAGCACCGCGCTCTTCTCAATCCACCGATCGCGGGCATCTCCTTCCTCCGGCATCTTCTCTTCACCCATCGCAAGTTTCAGCAGCTTGTAGCGCTTGAATGCACTCCGCATCCGCCCGCTCCATTCCTCATAGTTGGAGCCATCCAATGCCTCGATCTTGGATGGTGGCGGCTCATTTCTCTTCTCAGCTGCATCTCCACTCCCTTGACTCATTTCCTCTGCTCCTAATCACAGGTTTCAGCTCCCCCCTTGCTGTCCACACCGAAGTCCCACAATAGTTTCACAAGTGTCGGCGCCAACGAAATTTCGGCAGAGTTTTCCCTTAGCGGAAGTCACATGCAACCTCCAGAACTCCACTTAGGCACGCCCACAGGCCATGGTGGGTCTAGGAGGGTCTTCACACCTCAGTAGACTCTTCACAAAGTCCTTAATCAGCTCTGATACCACTTGTTAGAGACTAAGGACGGAGTCTATGAAGATTAGGGGCTGAAATATCTCAAAATCGTCAACTACAATTCTGGACAGAAAAGTTGTCGTCACAAGAAACGTCGTCGACGATTAACGCACTGTTAGAATTCTTTCAAACTCGAGTATGTTGTAGCCCTTGACTGTGGCTATCTTTCTCAATTTGAATAGTATCAAAATATGGAGTATAACTCGAGTTATGAACTTCGGCGCACTATGGGGTATGCTGCCATAGAAAACGTAACTCAATCACAATTATCTCACATGTTCACACAAGAAAGTTGAAGTAGCAATAGAACCAGGTAGGAAGGGATGAGGAGGAGGAGAGGGAAGGTCCCAAGGGAGTCCCCAACCAAGGAAACCCCATACCACACAATTCCCCTCTCTATAGGCACCCCAACTTTGACATTTGTCACTTTCCCAACTCATGCCATCCACCTCACCCAACTTGGCCACACTTGCCAACCTGGTTTGGCTTCTCCCAACCACTTGGCATCATCTACAGTGATGGTGACGAATTTTCCAACCCCCAAAAGTCTGTACCCCATATTTAGTCAACCCGCAAATTCCTATAGTCGCCGCATCTCAATCAAAACTTCGAACGATCATATCTTTCTCGTTCTTGCTTCGATCGCAGCGATTCTCGGTTCGTCGGGAAGCTCTTGAGCAGAGGAGTCACTTCAGATATCTGTTCAAGCCAAATAACATTCACACACACTCAGAAAATCCAAACAACACCAAACACAAATTCTTGCACACGCTTACACCACGCATGCAACACACGAACATATGATGGGAGGCAGACAGACGTGAATGCAAATGATAGCATCACATAACACTTTGAGGGTGGTGAAGTATCTGGTGACTACATCAGGCATGGGGCTTGTGCTTGGAGGGACTGAGCCAGTTGATTTGACCGGTCACTGCGACTCTTCCTATGCTGACGACGCGGAGATTCAGCTTTCGACTCAGGGCTACTGCTTCAGTCTGGGTGCTGGTGCTGTGTCGTGGAGGTCTACATGGTCGTCGTCTCTGGCTTCGTCCAGTGAAGAACATTGACGTGAGGTACTTTCTCCTGCGAGAGTTGCAGCGACGTGGCCAGGCACACTTGGAATTTGTTGCCTCAGAGGCCAACACTGCCAACGTCTTTACCAAGGCTGTGGCGCCTGGTGACCACCAGAGGTTCTGTGTGCAGCTAGGGCTTGTTGAGGTAGGCCCTCGGCTGCTGTAGCCTTGTTGTTTGCTCTGCTTGTTTTGCTTTTCTATATATCCTAGTGAACTCTTGAGCGAACCTTGTGGCCTCTTGTTTGTGCTTGGAGTGTGTGGTGACTCTGAGCGCCACCCTGAGCTTTGTTGTTGCTGCTTGTTCTTGACTGGTCTTGTGACCGTTGTTTTGCTTGCTAGTCTTCGGGTACCCCTCACTTAGCCTATGGGGGCGTGTGAAATGCATATAATTGTTATAGGCTGCAGTGAGGTACTCCCTAGAGAGTACAACTCAGTTAGGGTTGCTACTTGTATTGCTTTTCAACCCTAATGCAAACATTGCGTTGCTTCTGCAGAGATAACTAATTCAACGGGAGCTAGGCTACGGGCTAGGCACGGGGCAAGAGTGATCTTTGCATTCCTTAGTCGTTTGCTGGTGCGTTCTCTGCTTGCACATTCACGGGGAGATTTTGCAAGAGTTCCACTAGCAAAAATTGACAACAATGGATGATACAACATTGGCAACACAGACTACATCAGAGCTAGCTAGGCTGCTGGTCGACCTCCAGCACAGCATGGTCGACCGTGATAGCCGACTTGTTGTCCATGCGAAGGACGGTCGGCGTCCCGGCGTCCAGCTGCCGGAACTGTGCAAGGAGGAAGCGAAGGCGGCGTCCCTCCTTGCCAGCTTCCGTGGCCGCCACGTACTCCGACTCGGTCGACGACAACGTCGCGCACTTGATTTGCTAGCTCGACCAGGAGACTGCGGCCCCTCCGTAGACGAACGCGTAGCCACCCGTGCTCGTTCGGTTTTGCTTGTCGCTAGCGTTGTTGGCGTCTACGTAGCCGACCAGCTGCAGCGACTCAGTTCCACCGCCGAACTCTAGGGCAGTGTCACGCGTGTTTGCGAGGTAGGCGAGGCAGCGGTCGACCTTGCGCCAATGCTGGTCACTCCTCACCGTGAGGCCGCTGCCCAGCTTGCTGCAGGCAAAGGCGATGTCCGGCCTTGTCATCGTTGCCGCGAACTGCAGCAAGCTGACCTTCTGCCAGTACTCCTCCTCCTGGTGCTCCTGTGCGTCTTCGTC